CCCCTCTCTCTCTCTCTCTCTCTCTCTCTCTCTCTCTCTCTCTCTCTCTCTCCATGTCCTCAGGGGTGGAATTTTTTTTTTTAAGTATCTGCACTAGTGACTGCAAGCAGTGCTGGGCCCAGGGTTGAAGGAGCCAAGTATTTGCTGGCTGATGGAGAGGGAAAGGTGGCTCATCTCCTCTGCACGGGGCAGATAGTACACTGCTTAAGACATGGGCGCTGAGCCCTGACCGGTTTGGCTCAGTAGATGGAGCCTCGGCCTGCGGACTGAAGGGTCCCAGGTTCGATTCCAGTCAGGGGCATGTACCTTGGTTGCGGGCACATCCCCAGTGGGGGGTGTGCAGGAGGCAGCTGATCGGTGTTTCTCTCTCATCGATGATTCTAACTCAGGAACCAAGAGGTCACTGGTTTGATTCCTGGTCAGGGCACATGCCCAGGTTGTGGGCTTGATTCCCAGTGGGGGAGGCATGCAGGAGGCAGCCAATTGATGATGTTTCTCATCGATATTTCTCTCTCTCTCCCTTCCTCTCTCTAGTAATCAATAAAATATATTAAAAAAAAAAAAGACGTGAGCGCTGAGATCGAGTCAGGTTGCCTGGGTTCAATCAAGGCTCCTCAATTTAATTAGCTGTGTGCATTGGGTGTAGGTGAGTGATTTAACCTCAATTCACCCCACTGTCTTTATCCACAAGTGGGGCTGATAGCACCTCCCTCATAGTGTTGGAGGCTGAAATGAATGACAATATGTGAAGCACTTAGCACTTGGCACCCAGGACGAGCTGTGTAAGTATAGCCAGTGTGGTTATTTCCCTTCTTCCCTCTGCCACCCGTGGCTGCTTTGGTGAAGGCTTGGAGAAAAATGGCAATTGGATGCGTTCAGACGTTTGCTTGGAAGGTGAGAAACAAAGTTTAGGTCACTAGCAAGAGTGCAACCGAATGATGATGGGCCCTGGACTCAACGCTGGGTGAGGAGGGGCGTGTGGGAGGTTGGCAGAGTGAAGAGGTCCATCGCTGGACTCCCAGACAAGGCCAAGGAGCAGACACAGTACAAAGACATGGAAAGCGGCACCAAGAGGTAGGCTGTGTGAGTTTGTGTTTCTGGA